TGGAAGGGACCTTGGAGGTCATCTAGTCCAACCCCCTGCTCAGGCAGGAAACCCTATACCATTTCATACATACATACATACATACATACATACATACATACATACATACATACATACATACATACAAAACAACCTGGGTGCATTTTTATCCAGGAGATTCCAGAGGTCTACTTGTTTTTATTATTTGAATATTATGAAGGTTTTTTTTACTATAGGAAGAAATAATACCAAGCAGAATACATAGTACTTCTACACCTCTCTAAAGTAACCTTTCTTTGGGTCTCAGTTGCAGCCCACTTATTAGCAACTAGATGCCACCAGGTGTAAACCTCAGCCACACATACGGTTTTACAAAACAAAGAATCAACAATCAAGCTGAAATTTAAAAAAAGAAGAAGGGAAAGAAAAAGACAAAGTGATCCCTGGTTCCCCCCTGTTATATCCCCTCCTAGTTCAAATGTGAATATCCAACAGTTCCTTCTCGTCTTGTTTTGCCTTGTCCTGTCCTGTCTTTGCCTTTCATCTGTTTGTTGTTATTGTCTCTTTCGCTGCCAACTCCACATGAATTTCCATTCTTAGATCAACATTGTAGCACAATAGCAGACTTAGAGTTTGAACACAATATGTGTTGTTATTCTGGGCTACCTTCCAGTCACTCTTTGCATTTCAGAAGCAGAAAAATTTAGTGCTGGTATTTTTCACAGACATATTTCTTCACTTTGTGTCAACAGCAATAACTTTTGGACAGGACCATAACATATTTCAGAAGTCACTTCATCTTCTAGAGCGTTACCACCATTTGTTACTCTCTAGGATGCTACAGTGCGCTCAATCAATGGAATGTATTCATGGATCCAGTGGTTTGATTGATTGGGATGAGGCTGCTGTTTCACCCTCAGGTATTTAATAGATCCTCTAATTCAGCTGCCCTTCTTAATCCACAAAACTCATTTAATATAAGAACCAGTTCAGTTTATCGTAACTAAATTCTGTGTAGGAATCCAAACTCCTCAGGAATCTTTAACTTGGCTAGAACATTTTGGGGGGGAAAAACATTACCCTCAGACAATGCCTAAACTAAAAATATTGCCAGAAAGTAGAAAAGCTTTCAGAAAGTTTGAAGCTATCATTATTGTTAATAAACAGTGGCAAAGTCTTTGTTTATCTATATGTCCCAAAGTATTGATATATTTCCAGTGTTTACATTATTTCAAGTAATTCTACTTCTTCCTGATAGCTATAAAGATAGAGAGGATGCATGTGGGGTTAATATATAGTGTTTTGTTTTGACTTTCTAATTTTGTCCATTCAGAGCATAGTGTACTAAACGTCTCCCCATTCTGCTATCATGCAATGATAAACAACCATGGCACACTCTGAAGTTGAAAAATAAAATCCTCATAATAAACAAATAGCTGTCATTTATATTTCCAATACAAGGTCTTTGTGTAACTATTTATAAGCAGCAGTTTCTCTAACTGGATAAAGATTATCCCAGAAAAGCTCAAAGGACAGATATAAAATAAAAGGATCATCTTCATTTTAATCCAATATCAATGAATCTTGGAAATGGCATCATAATAAATAAAACTAATATAGCAACAAAAACAATAATTTTGTGAAGGCCAAATCAGTTTAATGCACTATTTGTAGGGTTAAAATGTATTTTTTAAAAATTAAATTATTATTTTTAAATTAAACATGAGGAAATTGAATCAAGTCTCACATGAAAACCTAATTGTTTCAAGATCTCACTTTCGATGAGATTTTGGCATTTTTAATATTTTAAAGATAGAAATATTTTGAATTGTGAGGCTGACCAAGCACCATCCAGAGATATGATAAACATCTTAATGCTCAGATATGCCTTGTGTGATTTAATCACCTTTTAATTAAATGGTAGTTAGTGTAAGAACAAGAGCCAGTCTGACGTAGGAGTTAATGGTAGCAAAGTAAAAATCACCGGACTGCAAGTTCTAGTCCTGTGTTAGGCATGAAGTTTTCTGGGTGACCTTGAGCCAGTCACTTTCTTTCAGCCCTAGGAAGATGGTAATGATAAATCACTTCTGAAATCTTGCCAAGAAAACTGCAGGGACTTGTCCAAACAGTTACC